GACTCTTTGCAACCCCATGGACCACATCATGCCAGGCCCTCCTGTCTTCTCTCATCCTTAATTTCATGTTCATTGCATCGATAACACTGTCTAACCATCTCATCCTTTGCCTTCCCCTTCTTCTTTGACCTTCAGTCTTTCTCAGCATCAGGGTCTTCTCCAGTGAGTGCTCCCTTCTCATTTGGTGGCCAAAGTATTTGAGCTTCAGCTTCAGTATCTGGCCTTCCAGGGAACAGTCAGGGTTGATTTCTTTTAGGATTGACTGATTTGATCTCCTTGCAGTCCAAGGAACTCTCAAGAGTCTTCTCCAGCACCATAATTCGAAAGCATCTATTCTTCGGTGCTTAGCCCTTCTTATGATCCAACTCTTGCAGCCATGCATTACTACTGGGAACAGAGAAGCAGACATTACTTTAAAACATAGTTCAGCCTATGACAGAAGTTAGGAACAACTAAATTTTCTAAAATGTATTCCTATCCTAAAGAAAACCTTTTATGAAAATATGTGTATCCTCGAATGGCTGTCTAAGGGTTCCACCAGGGATGAGAAACACAGCTGCATTTGGGAACCACTGCTTTTTAACATATGGTGCGTGATCTCACACACACAATTAGCCGTGCCATAGGCGTGAATGCCGGGCAGATTTAAAGGGCACAATCAGACACGAACATCTGGGAAGTGCCCTGCACCTGCTGGCAATCCGTTTTGCTCCACCGCATATGCGGGGTAAAAAGACACCAGGGAAAGTCCGGTAGCAAACGGGTTGCTATGGGCCACAGATGGACTTTCCCTTATCTGATCGCTCCAGCGTGCTCTCATGGCGTTGGGATGGACTGATCAGGCCATCTCGACTCCGTGCCATTGTTTCCCCCCCCTTTCAGTATGCGCATCATTGCCCATTCCATAGGGAGCCCTCAGTGCTGAGATGCGATTCATCGATTCCCCATTTAAGCGAATCGGAAACAAACGGCAAACCCCCCCACACACACCAGACTCACCCGCGGTTGCATCTGATCACGCAGTGGTGGGCTGCCCCCGCGGCTTCAAAGGTCTGTGTGATTGCGCAACTGTGGGTCAAATCCCTCCGGAGGGAATATCTTCACTTCCCCCCCAGTTTATCTCGCACGTGTGACTGCACCCATACGTTACTTATATAGTTGCTTCATTGGTAGTGGAAAGTGCTGTCAAATTGCAGTCAACATGAGTTTTCAAGGCCAGAGACGAACAGAGGTGGCTTGCCATTGCCGACTCCACACAGTTATCCTAGACTCCCTTGGTGGTCTCCCATCCAAGTACTAACTAGGGCTGGTGTTGCATAGGTTCTGAGATCTGATGAGATTGAGCTAGCCTGGACCATCCCGGCCAGGGTAGTTGCTTCATTAAAGAAGAGGAATGGCTTGTTCCCAGTTAAGACTGATGGTCAGGCTTTCTTAGGCTGCTGCCACACGGGACGGCTGAAACGCGGCTAAGCAGAGCTGCACCGAACTTGAGATGCCGCGGCGGGATCCCACGGATCCCCTCAGCCGCGGCGCATCGCTCCCCGGCACGATCAGATGCCGGGGAGGAAAGTCCGATGGAAGGGGGAGGCTGCCGAACTGCGCATGCTTGAGCATGCGCAGTACGGCTGGGGGCCGGGATGCGGCGGCGCGTCCTTGCGCCGCCCGATCCCACGGCCCGGCTTGCGGCGCTGGAAGGGATACAACCACCTAGTTAGGTGGTTCTTTTTTACAGCGCGGTATCGCCATTTGGGACGGAACAGGGACGGGCAGGCAACGATTCCCAGATGTTGCCGTGGGATCGTGCCCGTTTGCTCCGCCCCTGTTCCGTCCCGCTCCCGGCCCAAAAGGACCTTAGTCTTGCTTTACACTGATGACATGATTTTACAAGCACAGAATAAAGTTGAGCTTTATTATTTGCAGGATAAATTGATCATGAAGTATTGTATACCAAGACTAAGATAATGGTTTTTGGCCACAGTCCTCTGTTGTAATGACTGGCCACCAGATTGACCAAGCAGCTTCTTTTAAATGCTTAAGCATATACTTTTGGCCAAGAAGAGCTGAGAGGCCTAAATTCTCTATATCGGAGACCATCGCCCATCCAGAAGCTTGTATGAATTACTTAGGAAACATTATGTTCTAATTTATGGAATTGTAGAAGAAGATATTTACAGTCTAAAGCAAAAGATAGGAGCAACTAAACCTTTTTCCATAGTGAAAGCCCAAAATAAGTTTCTAAGATCTTGATTATTTATGTCAGCAAATGTGTCCATGGCAATACTTGTACTTGAAATTTTTAATTTCTGTTATGACCTAAGTTATGTCTTATGGAAATAATCTATAGATGTAACTTAAATCCAAATGCATGATTGTCGCATATCTAGAAACATGTGGTTTCTCAGAGTATTTTGACTTGATCTAAGGATTTTTGAGAAGCAGATCTCTTTAAAAGTAGGCTTGTCAATGCAGATTTTCAAGAAATAATATGACGAGTTGTCCTGTATCCTACTACTCTACTGAACAGAGTTTGAAGTCTTCCTCCAGCCTGAGGTGTGGCATACACCCCTGATTTTTTTAAAAAAAATCTCATTTTTACTTTAACAGCAGCTTTACAAGATAAATTATCTTCTAAACGCAAGATAGTTTAATCTTTAGAAATCTTTTATTTCATTAGCCTTCAAATGATGGAGCTGGCTGTAAATTTGGCTATGTAATAATATCCCATGTATTCGTTTGGGGGTATGGTAAAGTTGAGGAAGGTTGTGGTGGCTCAAGTGGTTAAGACACTGAACTGCAGACCGGAATGTTGGCAGTTCAGCAGTTCGAGACCCCAATGCCTCATGACGGAGTGAGGTCCCATCTCTGGTCCCAGCTCCTGCCAATGTAGCAGTTCGAAAGCAAGAAATTGCAAGTAGATAAATAGGTACCTTCGGTGGGAAGGCAGCAGCGTTCTGTGTGCCTTGGCGTCTAGTCATGCCAGCCACATGACCATGGAAACGTCTTTGGACAGCGCTGGCTCTTCGGCTTTGAAACGGAGATGAGCACCGCATCCCTAGAGTTAGATTTGACTGGCTTTCGAGCAAGGGAAACCTTTACTTATAGTTGAGGATCTTTACCACTATGTCATGCTCAGGGCTGCCCCCAGGCCCTGAAAATCCAGTAGCCATCTTCAAGAAGGAAGCGAGCGCCTCAGATATGGCAGGGTTGGGGGTTATGTCACACCCCAGTCACCTCCCTCAGATCGATCGCCTCTACACCTTCTCTCTCGCTTGGCTGTGCAATCGTCTCTGAATTCCTCCCCGGCACTCTTCAGCTTCCTGTCTTTTATAGATCCTCCCCTCCCTTAGTGACACACCCCTTTCTGGGAATACTAGAACCATAGGCTCTTCCACCCGTCCATCACTGTGTTCCCCAATCCCTAGGTGTTTCCCCGTTTGGTTTCGCCTCCCTGTATATCCCTGTGCTTCTATCCGGGAGCTGGGGCGTGCAGGGGAGTGCCTACTTCCGGCATGGATGACGGGATCAACGCCTGCTGTCTTGGCGTCGTCACTTCTGAGGGGTAAGGCAGGGACCCTCCACCTGACTCTTTCTCTTGATAGAGCCCGCCCCCCCCCCAGTCAGCTGCCGAGGAACGCGGTCCGTGCCGGACCATTCCTCTCGCTCAGATTCTTCTGGGGTCCTTCGAAGTCTCTGTGGTCGCTGAGGGAGGGGGTTGGAGTCTCGTGAGTCTCTGGGACCGCCCCCCTATGGCTCGGGCCTGCCGCCTTCATTGTCCACTGACGCCATTGCCCTGGGGTTTTTGTCGCCCGGGATTTGTGTAGAGCCTAGTGCGGGTAGCACCAGTCCTGCCGCAATGGCCTGCGAGGCCATGGAGGAGCCCGCGGCGGGACACACTAGATGACTTTTCTCACTGTTTATTTCTCCTCATAGAAACTTGATTGGTTAGCAGTACACTTTAAACTTGGTTATTGGTAGTCCGATACAGATTTATAACACATAAAGTTCCTTCAGACTTAGTTTGGGCTGTTAGGGTTCATTCTCAATTTTCAAGGGCTCTTTTTGCAGCAGGAACTCCTTTGCATATTAGGCGACACACCCCTAATGTAGCCAATCCTCCAATAGCTTACAGAGCTCTTCTTACAGGGG